GACAACAATGCAATATCTTTAATTGTCTCTCTTGAAACCCTGAGCCAGCTCTGCTGGTTTGTTATAAGTGAAAGGCAATTATTCCACTTTCTGACTGCCTCTTGTGTCCAGAGAAGGCTTACTACGGAGTCATCAGCACACGTAAGGGCAACTTTCTCCGCCTGCACTGACGAGGCACATACAAAGAGCTGAGACAGGAGGCAACACAGGTGGGTTACGTATAACCATGCTCCTCAAGACTGTTAAAACTCTGGGTACGGCTCAAAAGATTCCATTTCAACACAAGTCACAAACTGTCCCTGGACAGCTTTAGAGCATCCATCCACGCACACGGACCAACATGAAGCACGTTCATTACTGGAGGCTCACACCACCCTCTCGGCACAGAAAGGGCAGACCAGCGAAAGCTGAAGGTGAGGGAAACAATCCTCCGGTTTTCAGCCTGGAGAGGATGGGGAACCACTGGAGCAGGTTTCTACTGCAGCCTGCCAAAAACAAGGTTTGGGATGAGCGAGGAAAGGACAGCAGAGCTCACATGCATCTGCATCTCTTCCAAACCCTGCAAAACTAACAAAAAGCCAAACAACCCCCACAGGTACACTTACAACCTCCATTTCTGTCATACTTTTTTCTCCCCCTCTTCTCCTTTATCCCCTAGTTATCCTCCTTCAACTTCCCCAGCCAGGCTAGTAGGGGCAGCCGAGAGGGTCAGAGAGGTGAAAACATCACCACTTCGAGTTCCCTTCCAAGATTATGGATAAAAGGAGTCCCTCTGCCCTCACCTCCTTTAGACCAGCCCTGGGACAGCCCTGGCTAACGGAACACAGTGTGGGGAAGAAAGCTGCAACCCGTTGAGCTTAGTGGATCCTGCCAGCTCCAGGCGCTGGGGAGAAGCTCCTTGGCAGGTGAGGTGACCTGCCTTCCCTTGGACAACGAGGAACTGGGACGGGACAGCCAACACAAAGCTGTTTTGAGAAAGAAAACGTTTGTCACCACACACATACACAAAAAAAACCCAAAACCAAAAAAACCCATACAAGCCCGAGTTTGTAGGGAGCAGAGCTGCCAGGGAAGACTGTAGGAACACATCCTGCCGTGACCCTTTCCTGGCTGATGAGTCAGTACAGCTGCACATTTTCTTTTCCAGCAACTTGAAATACTGAACTGCGGCCTCTTATCCCCCCCGCGCCCCCTCCGAGGTGAACACATGCGCAACCCTCCTGTGCACTCAAGACCAGACAGGATTTGGAGAGAACTTTAAAGTTTCATTCTCTCAGCATACAAAACCACAGATGTTATTTGTCTTGTTTTCAACACCGGGGAGCACACTAAGGGAAAGAAACAGACTTAATCAAATGCAACTGTATTTTGTTTACAACAGTATTTGCCATCATTTACTTACTTTGCTCCAGGAGGTGTATTTAGTTGTTTTCCTGCAGTGTTTCCCTCTGAGGGTTGAAGCTTCATTTGCTCTTACAAAGACCCTGTATTTCTGCAAAGATTTTTTTTTCTCTGAAGCAAATTATTATTTTTTTTTATTATGTAGTATTCCAGTTCCGCTTCATCCACAAATATGTTTAACCAGCATTTGTGAGATTCTTTAATGTTTTGTCCTGTTATCTCAGCACACCCAACTATATGTTGCATACAGAATAAATACTGGGCTTGTGTTCAGAGCAGGGAGATAGCTGTGTAATGATCAATCAAAAAATGCCCTTGGGGATGGGAGAGATTAGCACTTCGATACTACTGAAGATGAATGGGTGAAATGAGTTTGATAAGCTGGTGTTTTCCTCAGATAATTGCTCCGAAAGCTTTCTAAAGCTGCTTGGATCCTCCTCCCTTTCCCTTTGTTTCTGGGTAGGATGGCAAGTCCTGCTTTTCTGTCAGTGGTACTGGACAGGCTGCTGCTGTTACTGTTTTTAAACAAATAGCAGTGGATTTGTGCCACATTTCATCACTGACTATTGAACACTAAAATATCAGTCAAAATTTAACTAGAGATTCAGACTGGACTCCTATTATTCTTGGCCAACTTGGCTAGTCCTGCCAGCATGTACGTCACTGAGCACAGGACCGAGGAGGTGGGAAGGGGACTTCTCATGGGACATGGCCACCTTTCCTCAAGCTTAAATCCTAAACAACAGCTCTTCTTCCTTCAGAAGTCACCAGTCCTTGGTGCTCGCAAACAGACCTTCACCCCATCGTCAACCTTTCTCTGGGCTTTCTATACCCAACACTGACCTCCTCTTCCTCCTCCTGGACCGGTCCTTCACAGCGAACCCACAGGATCAGCTGAAGAGGAACTTCTCCCAAAGCCGTACCACGAAACTCTCGCCAAGCGCTCACAGACTCCAGGCACATCCCTCTTCAGGCACAAGACAAATCCTGCTGGCATTCACTGATGCGGTGCTGTTTACCGAGCTAAGTTATTCTCAGCCACTAACGAAATTGAAGCCAAGAGATTTTACTATATTTTTATTGTTTCATTGAATAAATGAATTTTAAATACAGAATTAATAATTTGTAAAAATAGTTATTAAAAGCCAGCATTCAGAAGTAGGTTGCGCATCAGTGACTGAAAAATTCATACTTACTTTTTGGTACAAATATAGGAAAGAAAAATTAAAAAAAAGCATATCCAACATCTAAAAAGAGATGATTTTTTTTTTTTTACATTTCCGTTCATGTTTGAGAACTGATATTTGTCTCATGAGAATCTCACACCAACCTTGGTTTTCAAACCACTAATTCACATTATTTGGTGATCAAAAAAACCCCATTCATTTGTTTGCTTACAGAAGCAGCGATGTAGCATTTCCCCCTCATATGTATGGAAGCCGGTGTGTTTAATAAAACCCAGTATATGAGGCATGGAAAAAAAAAAGCAGAGTTATGTGACTTGCAGGGATGCAATTAAGGTTGGCAAAGCATCTCTGAGCAAGCACAGGTTCTTCTGTCTCTCCCGCTGATACCTTTGTGAGTTAGGTATTTCTTATGGTATCCCATCTCTGGCGTTTGCTCTTTCCTGAGCTCCACTCCTGGAAAACTTTGTTGCAGTGATGATGAGTGAATAGGTACCTTCAATTTTTAATGCCCAATTTTAAAGCAGCTTGATCTTTCAAGAGACGCACAGCGCCCAATCTCCAGGATAAGAATCGGGCCCTTTTAGGCACAGTTTAAGCCCTATAAAACTGAGGCACCTCAAGAAGTCTTGACATTGGGGTTGTGGGTTTGGGTTGGGAGGTGGTGTTTTTGCAAGTTTCCATTACGGGTTCTTAAAAAAAAAAAAAACAACCAGCTACAAAGGTGATCCCACCAGTCAGTGCATCTGCATCATCTCAACCAAATAAAAAGGAGACATACTCTGTAATATATGCATCATTTCAAGACATCAGCACCACCCACACAGTATTCACAACAGGTTAGAAAAGAGATGGACTATGGCTCACCTGTTCCTCAAGGATCTTAACCACCAAGAGAATTTAACCACACTGACAGACAAACCACAGAATGAAATTCCCTTACAACAGAAACTAGGACTTTGAGATAATGGATAGGGATAGCTACACATCAGCCCGGGGGAAAAAAAACAACAACAAAAAACACACAACACAGGAGGGAAAGTTCAGACTGCAATGGAAACAAATTCAGTTAAACAAAAGAAATAATACTGGAGATTGTCACTAGTGCAGCTAGGACTTGGCAAATGAAATACTTTGCATATATGGCTGCAGGGCAGCCCTGCTTCTGCCATATGAATAAATATCCAACAGTACTTAAAAACAGTATATAAAAAAGTTATCAGGATGTTCAGAAACAGTGCATGTTCCACCCCCTGTAACTGCATAGTAGGTCCCCTCACGTGAGGTATTTCAGCATCACTGGAAAGGAAAGCAATACTGCTGCACTCCTCTTCCACAAGCGCAGTCTAATTTGAGCTGAGGTCGTAGGACGGTTACGCAGCGATGTGAGGAGCAAGCGCTCTGCTCCACCACTGTCTCTCCAGACCGCAGTGACCGCACTGCGCTGTGTGGGATCAAAACACGCAGTCAGAGCCGTTAAGGCTCAGTTCAGTACCCACTGCGTGACCAGATACAGGCACGGACCTCTTATTTCAGCCACTGCATACCTTGGTTGTGGTTTTGGTTGGTTGGTTTTGGGTTGGGTTTTTTTGTTTGTTTGTTTTAAACAGACATGTTCATGTAGAGTCTTCCAAAAGGAAGTTTAGTTCACGTGGCCAGGTCAGATTACTAACCTCCAATTAACTTCAGAATATTTCCTTGGTTATCTGTTGATACATAGGTTGTCCAGTAAAATAAACATATGTTTTATCATCATCAACAGCAACCTGTACATTTGTTTTTGCATTACCAGCAGAGCTGTCTGGGCCAGGCATCTCTCCTAGCAAACTGTACCCACAAAAGGCTGCTGTCCATCCTGTACTTTTTTCCAAGGGAAGTTATTTTCTTGTGTTGCACATGTATTTAACTGTACTCATTAAATACAGGATGTTAGTTTCTCTTCCCATCTGGCCTTTTTGGAAGCATCCTTTTTCACTCTTCAGAGAAAATAACAGCATCATGGTAGTGAAACCCAGGGTCACAACTTCTGGTGGTGTGTGACATCCAACAGTGGATCTTACCAAAGGGATACCATTAGTACCGCTGCAGCATTTGACTGTCTCTCCTCCAAAATGTGGATGTGATCAGAAGAAAAAGCAAATCCATAAGAAACAGATGTCTCCTACCACCTTCAAGAAGACATTTCTCCTCTTACGTTCCATCTTTGGGGCACAATCGCTGTAGCTTTGTTTGCAGTTTGTTTTGGGGAGGTTATTTTGTTGACAAATAATGATACCCCCTGCAAATCCTGCTACATAATGCTTGTTATCAACACCCCTGTTAGCGTGTAGGCTCATGTACTCTCACAGCCAGCTGTCATGGAAGTAGTAAATAAAGCTGTTTTTCCTTCAGACACAAGTATTGTCCAGTCTGTGACTATACCAGGAACATCTCTATAGCTTTTCCATGCCTTCCAAAAACTTCCACCGAACACTTTGTTTTGCTCCTGCTTTCCTTAGAACATCCGAGGATAAGATGGGTTTTGTTTAATTATCCACTCAGCATGGGGATTGATGTGGTACAAGTCTAAGAGGTAAGTGTCTGGGTCCAGGCAACGTTCACCTACCAAAACAAGAGAGTCAGAAAAAAAAGCACTTCTTATATCCTTACTCCTATAGTTGCTAGGTGGCTTAATTTCCCCTCAAAACTGGTATTTGTTCACATTAATTTCAATATCACAGCCATTCAGAAGCATTCCCACAAATGTGGAAAAGTTCTAACTATTTATGTTAAAATGAATGTATGTTTCTTAACACTATACTAAGCCCAAGCTTTGACCTTTGTAGAAAGGTACTCCAACTTTAATACCCAGTAACTTTAGCACTTGAAAACCATCATGAAATACATTAGTGATCAAATCCAGCTACTTATTTTTTTCCAATGACAAAGCTTTACTTCTACAGATGCTGCTAAGAGAAATACAAAGAGACAGCCAAAGCACTCCAGTAACCGACAGTCTCCAGAAACAGCTGTAACAGGGCATAAGAATTCCTTCCCATTTTCAGACACCCCTGATCTGCTGCTGCAATCATATTATTCAAGTCTCCTCTCCATCTGATGACATTACCCTCTTGATGAGTGGAAATTGGTGACTAATGAATGTCAGCAACTCGTTTAACTAAATGGTTTGAGAAACTTCCACCCAACTTAGTACGGGTTCTTTTGTCAGAGGGTTGATGAAGGCAGACAGAATTCACACCTGGAGCTGGCCATTGTTAGTACAGATGCCATGTGACAGCATATCACACTTAATTAGAGCCCAGAAAAGAAGCAGACAACTAAAAGCCTATAGTGGATAGGATGAAGTTGCCCATTACTTTGCCTCTTAGCTTTTGGGGACCCCTCCAAATCTTACCCTTTTTTTAACTCCCTAAGACAAGTTAAGCATAAAAAACTGGGTATCAGAGTCCTTAGTTTCAGTTACCACCCAGACTTACCAATATTGCCTCCCACTTCATACAGGAGCAAGTTTGTGCACTCCATTGAGTTGTTGCTGCAGAAAGAAAAACACATTGAAGTTAAAGCTCTGCAAGAGACAGGCTATGTAGCTTAGTAATGTTTCTTCCCAAAAAATTGCTTATGGTTCAGAGCCCAGCAATGGTCAAGGAAGATACAGACACCTCGCTGATCCTCCTGAACAATACAGCTGTTGAAAATGGCACCCAAAATTGGAAAAAAGAGAACAAGGCAGATATTCCTCACTGCTGGCGAGAAGCTCATCTGCAAGAAGACTCCAGCAGCAGCAGTAGTAGCTTGTTAGCGAGATACTGGTTCCCAGCTGACCCATATTCAGCCAGCTTCCCATCCACCCTCCTTGTCTAGACATCTCCTGCCCAGGGACACAGTCAGGAGATGCACTAACACTTCGTCTACTAAATACAGTCTGCAGGCACGATGACAGAGGGGGTGGGAATTCTTTTGTTAATTTTTTGGATTATTTCAACAATTCACCAGTGGACCATAGGAGGGAACTGCAGAGCTTACTTCAGGAAGCCCCTACATGAACATATGCATGTTGGAAATACTACTTCAGGCAGTAATTTGCACAGGTGCTATTTTTCTCCAGGAGAGCTAGGGAGAGTTTGTTTTGTAGGGTCGATGTTATTCCACTTTCCCTTCCCTCCAGCAAGGCTGCTAAAATTCACAACAAACCCGAGGGGACTACCTGACCTCCCGACAGCCTGAGCACAGGGATGGAACCACTCAGTTGAACTGACACGTGCTTGCCCCATGCAACGCGCTATTTCCAAAGCTTAGAATGGAGGAACAGAGAAGAGTCCCCTAATGGCTCACTGTGCCACCACACCAGCTCTGCCAGAAGACAGAAAACACAGCAACTAAACCACCTGGTACTTTTGGGTTTTTTTTTTAAAGCAGAGAAAAAGTCATTTACCACTTGAGGAAGTTGACAGTGTTAACAATATTCCAACCATTCTGGCACAGGTTCTTTTGGAACTGCCTCAAGACATCAGCAACTCTGGTGGCATTGTTCAAATGCACCTCGAGTGAATCCTTCAGGAGAAGGGAAGCGTGGACTTTCACAATCTTGGAAGGCTGAACAAGGCAGGCAAAGAGGCAAAAAGAAGAATGTGCTTAAAGAAAGGCTTTGTTATGAGCTAAAACATCAAGTTTCACAATAGATTGGAAAGTGTGAAGAATTAAACCTATCCAGCCAGCTGTTCAGAGAATTTAGGTTTGTTTCTTATCCCACACATACTACAGACGGGAAGCTTACAGAAGCATCAGGGTGAGCATTATAAACAAATCATCTGTGCTCTGGTGCTGTGGCTGAGGAGAAAAGCACCGCTCTCCATCAGCGTGCGCTGGTGCTCTCTGCTGTTCAAATACAGCACCGGCACTAGAAGCTACAAGCTTTGATGAAACTAGGATTTGTCAGACTAAATTTTGACAAACTGTTTTGCACAAGTCGGATAGACTTCCCTGGAAATCATTTAAATTACTCAAAAAGGAGTTTAGGCAGTTGAATTGCAGACTGCCGAATGTCAGAGGGGTAGTTTCAAAAAAGGAAGAGCTGAGACATCACAGAGCAGGGCTCAAGTGCTATTTTCTCAACATTATTTTCATCAACTCCTTCATGAAGTCGCTTCCCAGAACTTTTGTGGAGAACGTTGAACCTTTCTAATGGGGTCTGATCTGCGGCAAATTAATTTTGCAGTCCCGAATCTTCTGCAAAACAGCGCTGAGCACCAAGACCATTAGGAAGTAGTATTAGCATTAAGTATCAGGTCATCTGTTTGACTGCCTAAACAGGAGTTGTCCTCTCTGAAATGAGCACACCTTTAAGTGACACGCAACCTTAACCAGCCAAATGTTAGGCAGACATCATTTCAAGAACCCAACTGGTATAGAAAGGGGGATGCGCTGACTTGGGGGAACATAACCTCTTCTCCAGGTCTGCAGATTCAAGCTCTCTACATATTATTTCTGCCTGCAGACTCCATCTAGGTCACGTCCTTTGCGCAGCCCAGTTGCACCACCACTGCTATACGATACTTCAAATGCAGCAGTGCGTGGTGTAACCGAGCTGCCACAGACCCACACTTACTCAACTAACAGTGGCAACCAAAAAAAGGCAGAATGACTCCAGGGATCTTCTCCCAACTTTAATACACAAATAGATCCAATAGTAACATCACTTTAAAAAAATAATAATCTCAGTCTGCACCAACACAAGGAGGAGTAGAGCCATCTTATTTACCAGAGAAGTTAAGTGTCTCCTTTCAAGTGGCAAGAACCTTGTCCTCAAGCCCTCCCATACAGATCAGCAGCATTATGGAGCAAAAAGAAAGCGAGATACGAAAACGTACCCTTAAGCTACCGTAATAGCCTAAATTTGCTTTAAGTTCATGAAAATAAGTCTGCCTTTATCACAGCAGACATATCTGTCTAAACACATGGGGCATCTAGAGCCACGTGAATTCTGCTCTTCACATAAGGTAGAAACCAGCATTTCTGCTTCTGGTCTCTTCCTCCTTCTTCTGCAACAATGCAGCATCTTAACCAAATGTTTTGTAGCCCGAAATTTATTTAGTAGACTTGCTGTCGGGATCAGGCTGCAACCTGGCCAACAAGGTCTGGGAAGCCGTTTCTCAGGGTTCTGCAGATTTTTCTCCCTCTTGCTCTGTAAAGAGCATCACTCCTCAGTTTTCCAAGTTCTCATGAAACCACGCACAATGAGAAAGTATTTGACACTTATGAAAGGGCCCAGTTTTTCCAAGCCCTAACTCACCTCTGCCTGGTTCTTTTCCACTTTGTCTTTATCAGCATGAATCTTCCGCAACAAGTTTTTAATTCGCTTGTCGCAGAACTGGTACCTTTTGCTATTGCTCTCATTCAGTTTTCTCACTTGAGCTACGAGAAAAGAGGAGACCTGGGAAGGCAAGAAGGGGGAAGACAGAAATTAAATCAAGCAGAGATGAGGATGCCATTTAAGAACCTAAACACCACTTTATGAAGCTCCTTGAGTAGACAAAATAGCCATACACCTGAAAACAGGGAGTCTTGGAAATCAGCCAGAGGTTTTGCCTACAGATATTTAACTCCCCCTGAAATTTCCAAGACTATCCCTTCCCCTATCCCAATTCTAGGCAGACCAAGACACTGCTACACCATACTGCAAAACACCTGTGCAACTTACTGTCCAGAGCAGATCCTGATAATGGATCATCATCCGCACAACATCAGCAGCCCCCTCTGCCAGCTGTTTCTCCTTCCCTTCGGGGATCTTGTTTGGCAGCCCCTTGTGCATGAAGAGGTTTGGGGCCATGACTGTGGAAACGTTCCAGAGGTTCATTTTGTTGTTGTTCTCCCTGGCAACCACTTTGCTGAGGAATTCAAGTAGAGCCTAAAGAGAGGGCAAGAGACTTTAAGACATCCATTACTAATAGTCCTCAAGACTATTGTCACTACTGTGGCAATTGCTGGAGAGATCATTTAACTAGCGTTTTTTTCTTGATATCCGTGAGCAAGTCTTATTTCTCCAGTCAGGAAGTTCAGTGACCAGTTTCTAATATCGGGATAGCAACAAATAACTATACCCAGCAGAAAGAGAGTTTGTCCAGCATTTGCAAAATCAGGAGAGACAGTCTGTGTGGGAAGCAGATGAGCTCTTACTCCTTGGCAGGCGGCAATTTACAAAGTCCAGTCGTAAAAGTTACAGAATCCAAAGATGACCCCCCTCCTTCACCCAGTATCCCCCAAAGCTATTCCCAGATGTGCAAAAATAAACCCTTTTGGATGATGTCTTCTGCCTCACGCCTCCACCAAAGCTGTGACACATGACAGATCATCTCTGACTGGATTATGTATTCCTGCGCTCTAAATAGAGTCTGCAGGGTGCTAAGTCAGCCTTGCCTTTATCACCTGGAAGCTGAACTACTCAGAAGAAAAAAAGAAAAAAAAAAAAGCAGCAGCAACCACCACCACAGTTCTTATAAAGCACAGAAAGGCAAAGGTTGTGCACTGCCTGCAAAGCATTTATTCTTTCAAGGAGTAAGTGAAAGGATTTTAAATGCCTTCTGACCAGAAAAGGGTAGGAAGTTATAAGTTTAGTAGCTTTTTTAATATTTTTTTTTAATTGAAACTATCCTTCACAGATGATGACAATACCACAAACCATGAATCAAAAGACTGAATTCCTTTCCCTGTATCTTCGCATGCCCACAGACAATGTAAGACGTAGACGTTTTTCACTCCATAGTGAAGTGCTTTAAACACACTGAAAAGGAAGACCACGTTTCTAAACGGGATGCTCCAAGACCATGGGGATTCCTACTGCTTGAAAGTTTGTACCCAAAGGGCAGACTGTGCTTACAGCTTACGTTCACTGCACAGCCTTCAGGTTTGCCCGCTCCATTCTTAAGTCAGCAAAATAAAGCCAAATGGCATAATGTATGTTATTTACAAGAGCTGATAGAGCCCCTTGAATAAAAACCTGGAATGAGATTGCGTTTTTCCAGATAAATCCAGAACAGGTAGTTACCTTCAGAGTGTTTCTGTTGGGCTCTGGCAGAATCAGGATGAGGAGGTTTAGAGCCTGCAATCTTTGCTTCAGGTCTGGAATATCTAGAGAGGGAGAGAGACAACAGGACAAAGGATTCAGCTTCCTGACACTGTTCTTTTTGAGCACGGGAATCCCCCAAGGAGTAAAGTTTATTGTAGTGTTTGTCATCTAGTATTTGAGATCTTGTTTTACAGAAGTAAATCAAGCCCATACAGCCCTTATGAAGTGAACTACCTATGTTTTAGAAGACTGGCTGATTTGTTTCAGAATACACAGCCTACCGGCAAGTTTGACGTTCTTGAAAGGCAAAAGACCCCGTTATTTCCCATTCCTTGTACAAAAAAGGTTGTGCACTTAAACAGTAAGCTTAACACATTCAAGCCAGCTATTGAGGCACAAACCTCAAAATAAGGTGCTTGCAGAACATGGCATTACCTGCAGACAAGCCAAGACTGGGCACCCCGGCCGGTTGCCACAGCTCAGCCTGCACGTCACTATTTGCCAAGTTGTCCTTATTCATGGTGGCAACCTTGCAGCCTCAAATGACACAACATAATTCAAGACTCCAGGACAGTGTTCCTACACAAAGATGTATGCAACCAAGCACCAGGGACTACGATTCTCAGGCTGACACGTAACAGCCCATATAGCACCCAGCACACCGTGTTTGGCTATAGTTTGTACCGTGCTCTGTATTCCCAGGGAACCCACGGGCTCCCAACACACCCGACGGGAGAGCCCAACGCCAGCAGAGCTTTGCCAGAAAAGTACAAACCAGCAAACTGATGCTAACCAGCCAAAGCAGGGACTCACTTTGCACAGCAGCAAAAGCGGGGAGGTACTCTGCTGTCAGCAGCGGGGCCGGCAGCTCTCTTATGAACCTTTTTAGTAGCCCAGAGACATCATTCTGGTGGACTTCATCCCAGCGGAAAAGGCCGGTATAGAAGTCCCTTTCTAGCTTCTGTTCCAGACTCTATAAAGAAGATGAAATTTGTTACATGCTTCAATAAGTAGACACAAGGGAAATTCTGTAGCTGAGCAGTAGTAGGGCAACCCATCAAGTCAAACTGCGCAGAGACCCTCACAGCAGACACTCCCAGATTTCCCAGTGACGGATGTTTCCAATCGTACTGGGAAGGGAGATAAGGCAATTATATTTGCTTAAGCAACATGCTCTGTGGTAAGCTCTGATACTGTCTGTCGAACATTCCTAAAAAGCTCATACCTTGATTCTGGTCTGGGACCCAGAAACTCTCAAAATGCCCTCTGTTTCAAGTCCTCTCTTTTCCAAGCAGGATAGCAGCTATTAAAAGGGGAAAAAAGAAAGCTCTTAGGCACAGAGAAGTCAGCACTTCCTTATCACGTGTTTGCTGACTCTGAGGATCAGAGGTGCGAATGAAACCAGAAGAGAACTTACTGCCTGGAGTAACAGAGGGACTTTGGTGCTGGGGAGCAGTTTTTGGTCATTTTCCAACAAGGTGTTGAGTGGAACTCCAAAGAGTCTTTTCTCTACAACAGAAACAACATGTTATAAGTCTGTATCTCCACTAATACAGACGCCAGGGATATATCCACCACTGCAGACTGAGAGGCACGTTTTATAAGTGTAGGTACTGGAGAAGAAGAGAGGAACAGTTAACAGGACAAGTGCATTTGACAGTCAGAGATAAATGCGGTGCTAGGTCTTGATGTTATGATCCGGTGACTTCCAGGAGAAATTCTGACCAAGAAAAACACCCGTCACAAGATCTCTTATCAAAGACCCTCTCTGTTCTAACATTTCCAACACAAACCTATGAGAAGATCAATGTAAAAAAAAAAAAATCACAACCCCCAAAATAATAAAAAAAACCCCCAAAGATGAAATGCAACTAACCTGCTGTTTTCAGTTTTGCTGCCTTGTTTCTCTTCAGCTCAAAGCCCAGAACATCACAGAGAGCTGTTAGTTCAATAAGGGCCAGTGTGGGGATCTTCTTCATGTCCTGAGCAGAGAGATCTCCAATCCTGGTCACTCCTAGTCTACCTTTGGGGATCTTAAATTTCTAAGGGAAAAACACACACAGACAAGGTTCAGCGAGAGTATCACTACTAACCTCAATGGTATCAAGTTTTGCTGCATTTTTATCATTCCTTGCTATAACCAGGCATCTATTCATTGTCTTGTTTTCAACACCAGAAAAACGCCCCAAGCTACTCCTACTTCTACTCAACCCACAGCTGAATAAATATTTTCCCTTTTCAGCATTGCTCTTTAACTAGAGATCCCAATTTATCTAAATTAAAGACAGCCTGATGCCCACCCTAATCTACTTGAACTTTGGAAGCAGTCCAGTACATCTGCAGAGGAGAAAACTATTAGAATTACAAGTAAGAAAGCCCAGTTATTCTCCTCTTTTCAGTGGAAATGATCCGGGTTCACATCAAAATAGCTAGTTTCACACACAAGTACAGCTTCTTTTGACGCTCCACTACACAACAGTTATCCTTGCCCAACACCGCAAGGATAACAGCATTACCTGTCCAGAAATATCTACCTAATATAGACCTGTTCCAACACCATCCTTAGAGGACATTTCCTGACCGTACAGTTGAATCGAGTGTCTTGACAAGAAGGGAGCTAATAAGTTCTAACAGGAAAAATTCCTTCAGCGCTTACAGTTAGGGCATTTCCATCCTTTAACCTCCTAGATTCAGACAGGAACGATCCCTTGAGCAGCACAGCTGCTTGCTCTGAGTAGGCAATATCCATGTTGAACACCTCCTCTTTTCCAGGGTTTCGAACCGTGCAGGAGTAATCCTGGGTTTCTGCTACAGGGGAGAAAACATCTTGAATTTCAGAAAGCCAAAAGGGTGAAGGCTAGAGAACAAGTGTGCTAAACGAGCAGTTTGAGACAGATTTGGGGTTCACCGCTCTCTAGTGGAAAAAAAAAACAACACTATATTAACATTCGAAGAATGTTGTCATAGCACAGTCCTGAGAGTGACCAGTAGGGTAAGATTAGCTTAAAGCCATAATGTTACAGCTACAATCACTGGTAAGACATGAGCACAGCCATAAATTATAGAACATACCTATGGCTAACTTCTCTTTACACAACTCTGTATGGTGTTTAGAGGATTTCACCATGTGATCTCTGCTAGAGGGATTTTATTTGCATCTTCTAATTGCTTTCTTGAGTTACAGTTACCAGTCTGAGCAGCAATTCCTAACAACACTAGAGCCTGGAAGAGTTTACTAAATCCACAGCTGTGGATAACCATGTATTTACAAAATAAAATAATAAAAAAACCAAACAAAAAACCCCAAACAAAGCCAATGTTTCAGAGCTCACATTAGTCTACTCCCCTTCCACTCCTACTCGACCTTTAAAAACTTCCTTCTTACATTTCTGTGCATTTGAAGTTCGTAGATTGTGCCACAACTGATCTGGGCTGGACTCTTTCTCTGCTGCTGTCTCCTGAAAAATAAACCAGAACATGTTTACCTACGCAAAACAGAAGTTATTAGAAGACAACTTGATTTTGGCAGAAAACACACACCTGACATTGTCTGCTCGTCTAAGAAAATGCTGCTCAAGCTCAGAGCTACAAGACTGCTCTGAAATTAAGAGCCATAACTAGAGGATTTCACAGGCAGATGGAAAACAGATGACTATTTCATGGACACTATTTGTGATAAATTTGCACGTCATTGAGCCAATTCTTCCTTTCATGCAATCATTAGCCAATTTTCCCCTTTTAGTTCATGCATTGAGAGACTACCAAACAGTGCACCAACCAAGCTGTGTGGGATCCACCCATTGCCTGTCACCACAAGATCTTTCACGAGAAAGAACGCAGTAAGTTGACATCAGCCCCTAACAGAACGCAGCATCTGGCTTATCGCACATCATACACTAACGCCAGAGCATCTTCAGATCCAGCTGCAACAGTAATTTAGAGGAAGTTTGTAGAAAGGTTCTGACAGAAATGCCAACAGCTTTGATGCCTGAGAGATGCTCGTGACAGAGGTGGACAGGAGGTGAACTGCAAATCCATCTTGAAACACTGATGGAGATAAAAAGCCAAATGACCGACACATGACTGCCTGTACTCTTACAGCCCAAACTGCTTCCACTCAGGCCACAGCCAAACTGAATTAGCTTTAAGCTTGATTAGCTGAACATAGCTTTTTTCCATCGGTAGAGCCCATTCAAACGTTCTGCTGCCGTTGTGCCAAGAGAGCAGTCAGTAGGGGGAAGCACCCAAAAACTGATTGAGCAGTAAGGGCACAGATGCTGGATCTGGGTTCCAGTTCTGGGGGGCAAAAAAAACTTTATCTTTCTGCATTTCTGTTTCCTCACTTACAAAGCGGAGTTTTCAAATATCCTTTTGTGCAATAAGGGATTTATCATGTTTTGCTACATGCCTGGAACAAGTGTTATAGCCATGCTAGGCCTGTTTCGGCATATGGTTCCTGAATATGTCCTTCAGAGCCTCAAAACTGTGCTTGGAACTGGGACAACACAACAAACCAGTGTGGAAAATTAACCAAAATGGAGATGTACTCTCTAGCAGAAAAAAAAGCCATCAGTGGCTATTTTCTCTTTAGAATTACCAGCTGTACAAGATCAGCTGATCAGAACTGAACTTCTGACGGTCTCTTTTTTTGGTTAATAATGATTTAACATGTCACTGGAATAAAGACAACACAAGAGGGCTCCAAACAACACCAGTGCTTCATGAGGCTGCAGCGCCGTAGGCACTATACAGGGAAGTTCATGGATCTGCCAGGTTTTGTAGTGACTTCTCATTGCTGCAACCTGGATGCAGAATTTCTACAGTCTCAGCTTCATTTCAGCTCAAAAGATGAAGTCATCTATTCGGAAATGAAAGTAGCCCTAGATCCAGAAAGCCAAGTCAGCTACCACACCGCAACGAAGCCTTTCAGGAGGTCCCAACTAAATCAACATACCTCAGAGCTGACCACTCCAAAAATATCTCGGACATCACGCACAGGATGCTTGTTCTTCCTCCTCCGAGATCGGGAGTAGGTATCCAACCGCCGCTGCACAGCGGCCGCCTGGGTCTTGGTCAGGGTGGAGAGCAGCACGATGTTGTCGTTCTCCGAGGCACAGTCCCCGAGCAGGTCGGACAGACCAGCGTCCTGGAGCCACTCGGCTTCAGCTTCTCCTTCTGCAAGGCAAGGGATGAGAAAGGCGAGTGGGAAGAGAAAGGGTAACAGCAATTAGAGTGTTTGAAACACTTCAGAGGCAGAAAACCAGAAGCCTGAGCCGTCCCCTTTCTGAGTGGCAGTGGGACATGGCTGGCAGGGAGCCACATCTTTGTAAGGAAGCCACAGCTCTTCTCAGAATTGTAGCCCTATAGCCAGGTAGCCAGCTGGGTATCAGGGTGAAACCAGAGGATACACAACACTTTAGGCCCCTGTAACTGCACACATACTCCTTTCTCCTCATCCTAGCTGAGGAAAAAGAAAAGAAAAAAAAAAAAACCACCCTGGGGACACGTGGATGTTGCCAGGACCTCAGGCTCCCTCAGAAGCTGGGCTGGAGGGGGGGAACAAGTGTGACTGCATGATATTTAGCAGAAGGATTGCAACAGGAACAGAACCCAGTGGGGGATTTCACATGACACAGGAGAAAGTCAGACGCACTTGCTTAAATCTGCCTTTACACGGACTGCCTGTGCGAAGGGGAGCTCTGGCAGCAGGCAACAGCGCACAGCGAGCTCTGAATGAATGGCACTGCCTCCCTGGGGCACACCCGATCCTCCAACAGCTTTCAGGAGAGACAAAAAAGGTCTGTGGGAAGCCACAACATGCAACACCGCACATTTGGCTTTTGTACTCTTCCCAATTATTTGTCTATTTATTTTAATTTTTATTTTTCTATACGCATGCCTATATATCAACTATTTTTTTTTAAATACCCAGACACTGATTTGGTAGACTCAAGTGTATTTTATTTAATATACTTGCATGATTATTTGTATGCACCGTCCCTATTCTTTACCTTTTAAAGTGGATCGGTATCCATACAGTCATTCAACAAAAGCAAACAATGTTATTCTTACTCTGCGCATTCGCTTTATATCTATGCCTATTCAAAACATCACTAAAATTAAAGACCATTCCAGTGCCAGAATGAAGTGTGAGAAGCCTGGAGAGAGTACCAGCAGCATCAGACAAGCTCAATTCCACTTCATTCTTCAACATATATAAAATTGCCCTTCAAACACAGAAGACACTATTTTCCTTATGGGATGCGCCCTTTGTGCAAGTGGGAGAGTGCCCTGAGCAAGGCAGCTACTTCAAACCCAAGGATAAAAGAAGCAATTTAGCAGGTGGCTTCAACTTTAATACAGCGAACACCACAAAGCCTTTATCTTTTCAATTCTACGTATCACATTAATTCACTGCAGTCAGCTCCAGCAGAGCTCTACCAAAGGTTATACTGGGAAAAAGAAAAGTCACAACTGAACCGACCGAAACAGAACACCTCGTTCCCACTCTTCCTTTCTGATGCAAACCAGTATCTTCTCAGTTATCACAGCTGCTCAGACAAAAGCTTTATTATTGCTGCATAAATAATAAAAAAGCCATGCAGCTCTTCTTGAGAGATTAAATAATTTAATTTTTCCGGGGAAACTTCTGTGTTCATGCAACTCGGAAAAACATATTGTCACTCCTTTCAAACTTTTTTCAGAGCATGTTCTTTGTGTTCTTAGGCGCTGTAATGAAACAGAACTTATTTCAGCATCACATCACAACGAATAGAGTTGGACCTGAAGTGAAGTGTTTGCTTGAATGAATCTTCTAGCCGACAGGCTAGATTTCCTACATGGTCTTAAGTTTTGGTCATTTCCCATGTCTGGTTCTAGAGAGGCTGAGAGGTAAGAGCATCCCCCCGGTACCGCTGGTTTGGTCACAGCTGCTCGCGCGCTCGTGGTGCCCTCCACGGCTCCTCACCGTACAGCTCTTTGTCCCTCATCCCTGGTTGCGCAGCAGCACAGCGCAAGGCTGCTGGTTTATTTTGTCTTTGGGAACTAAAGGAAGTTAAGTGTATTGCTTGCAAATTTTGAAAATACCCAGTTCCAGTCATAACAGGAAACTAATCTAATACACAATACTAAACAGCAAGCCCTAAATCAGACATCCGTGTGAGCCTACTGCCCTACCTGATGCCAAAGCACCAGATTTTAATTCCTCTGTTTAATATTTTTGGCCCAGTTATGTTTGCCAGCAACGCAAAAGGAAACCGGCAAAATAGGATATTTATGGGGAGAAGGGGGAAATCTGAGAGAAACAGGTCAAAACTGAGAGGTCCACAGAAGCTGAGCTGCAGGTATAAACCTAGAGAGCTGCTCAGATCTGCCTTGTGAGTTCCAGACAAGCAGCAGGTCAGGAATAAATTGGAAATAATTAGGAATAAATTTGCAAAACTAAAGAACACCAATTCCAGAAACTTACTTGAAACATAAGCTAGTCAAAAATAGCATTCATAATAAAGCATTTAGTTTAAAAAAAAAAAGCTGCAGGACAGCTAAGAATCCTACAATTTCAGACTAAACATTAAGCACAACTTCCTATGTAGTTTTCAAAGGTAGAGAAGAATCACTCTTTGCAGACACTTCTCAGCCCTGATTACACGCTATAGGGATGCTAGCAGGTATTCTAGTGGCAGCACTGCACAGAGCGCATTCTTTATCAGTCTGTACAGTCAGACCTTGGAGAGAGCTGGAGAAACAGCAGAGAGCAAGGGGAGGACAATGCTGCTGGTATTTCAAGCAAAAGCTACTTTCTGACAGCTGAAGTGGGCAGTGAGGCCACAAGCATCAGCAGCACCTTTCAGCTGACCCAGTTCTGCAAAGTCACACGCTGGCCTCCCACCAACACCGGGTCACAAGCAGCTTCCCATCGCACCGCCCCGTACACAGGAGAGCAGTGTTCTCCAATGGGTCAGCGTTATCTCCATGTAGCCTCCCCGCTGTCCCTGCACTGTGATTATGAGGGGCTATCTGTCAGGTTGAGCCATGCTGCCTCCAGACAGAGCTGTTAGCCCCTGCCCAAGCGCAGCTTCTCAGGCTTTATGCAAAGAGCGATGGTGCCTCTGGCTTCGAGGAGCCCCGAAGCTGCATTGCCACCTCGTGACCATAAATTGCGGAGACGTGAAAGCCAAGAGGCACCGGCCAAGTGCAGCTTCCTGCATCCACACCATCCAAAGTTTCCCCTCGCTACTGATGCTCCCAACACACCACTTATTTGACTAAGCTCCTTGGCAGAAGGCACCGGGAGGCTGAGCGTGCCGCACCTCCTTCCCCAGCCCGCCGGGAAGGCTTCACCACTCGGAGCATCATTTCAAGTCTGTCTGGTTTCGATGGCCAATTAAGCAGTCAGCTTGTGCCTGCTAGATTAATATACAGCATTAAAAGACACTTTTCCCTATGTCCCTGCCTGCACACAGTAATCAAATTGCCTCTAGCGTATCAGTGTTTCAGATATCCCAGACAGCCTTTCATCCCATGGCATGGCCTCTTTCCCAGAGTCTCCTTCCTGACGCACTCATTTTCCGAGTCACTTTCGCATCTCTTACAGTTCGGAAAAACAAACTTCCATCCTTTATGCAGGGACATCAGCAGCAGACCTTAATGTTTACCACGTCTTGCCTACTATAGCTATGGCAGACATGGATGATGGTCTTCCCACCCCACTCTCCAGAGCCCCCTCTATGCATCCCGGAATAACTCTTTACCCTTCCCAAGCACAGCAGCACACTGGAACTGTCACTCAAACATTTTCCCATTACATATACGGATCCTTCTCAATATCAGGCCAGCACAGCAGCTGTAGGCTGTACAGGCTGCAAACCCAACCGCTCAAGAGGATGTGCGGCCAACTAAATCACATTCTTCAACATGGACCTAGAAAACCTGCAATCCCGATTTGCGGGATCGCTGGGTGCTTATCACCGTTTGTCACCTCTCCAGCACCCCAGGATGTGGTACCTCCCACGTCAAAAGGCCCAGGCTCCAGTTATTCCAAAATACTGGATAACATCAGCACTACAGAAAGCCCATTAGAAACAGCCTGTGCACATGAAGCAGTCTTCAAAAGAGGGAAAGAAAGAGGAAAAAAAAGGAGGTATATAAGAAAAGCCTTGTGTGGATGGATTCAGGTCATTCTGGATGTTTCTTATGGTTTCTTGAATAGTGAATTTGAGGGGGAAACATCTGTCTTCCACAAAAGCAGCTCTCAAAATCCACTGTGATGAAGTCTCAGAACCATGAACACAAACAAGCCTTCCAAAACACCCTCAGCTATCACCATGTGTTTACCATACAGCCACCTGCACAGGGAGCGAGAGCCCCCACACTTAGTGGGGTTGTTAGAAAAAAATCTGGAGCCTCGAACATACTCCTGACTGACCTTTAGAGCCAGCTTCGTTTCAGAAGCTGAAACCGCGCCAGGGCAACACTCCCCTTCTGCGGGGTATTATCCACCAGCCAATAAATAAAATATATATGTATATATGATTTGACTGGTAATATCCTAACCATATTCCAACACGCTTCTAAATCATTCAGGTGCATAAGCAAATTTTGGAAGATGTTCATCTTCCTCCTCTCACTCCCAACATTTTTGGCAACCTACCCTCTTGTGTTTTGACATCTGCAAGGCTGCATTCCTCTTGCTCGGCTTCAGCACTCTGTTTAATGTTCTCTACTTCCAGCCAAAAACTGTCCATTGACAAGTTGTCCAAAGACTCTACCCTGGAATTCGTGCCCTCTGACACCGGGGATGCCAAAGGACTCTTCGGAGGAAGCTGGCTCATTTTGCAAGGACAATTTCTGGTCCTGAGAGAGGAAGAGATAAGGAGAGAGAGATTAAGCTACACGTATTCACATACGGCATTCACAATACAGCGGTCTTCACTGATTAATGACTGCAATAAAAGCCAAACAGAGGTAAGTGCTAGACTTCCTTCGGTTAGTGTTTAGCAATAACAGACAAGGTTGGGATCAAATCCCCTAGAGTAAGGGAAAACCTGCTGTGCAAACACACAAGAGGGCACAGATTCAACACGAATTTTCCGATGCTGTCCTTCCAGCGACCTCCAAGACGTCACCTACCACTCCCACACTTGCTACCAAGATTCCCCCGCAAATTTGCACAGATACCCTCTACATTCACAGACAACCAAGATGTCTCAAGCTTGGTGCACGTGTGCTCTATCATCTGGCACGCACGGCAAGCCCAGCAGCTCCCAGCCCCAGCAGACCCAAGCCCGCAGCCTTGTCCTCCGTATGCAAAAACCGGCACAGCTCCATCTCCTGCGCTTCAGCTCATGCAATAAACAACTCAGATGTTTAAGGCCCTCTTTTCCTGTCCAGACCAGATTTTTCAGCTGTGAAACAGCACAAGTGTCCTGGGAAACCCACACATACAGAATTTTCTTACCACCCTGCTGATTAATTCATGGGCAGCCCAAGTCCCAGACTGGCCTCCTTCAGCTTTCAGTCTCTGTGCAGAAAGCTGTGAGGTTCCCATCAGTTCAGAAAATAACGCCTCTCCTAAAATGAATTTTAATTTTCTTCAAAGGGTTACGAGCCATTTAAACCTTGCTGCTTTTTCAAAAGCAACTTAAGACTTTTTCAAGTCTTTTTCAAAGACAAAGAAAATTGGGGTAAGTGGAACCTACTTATAAAAACACCTCAATGGTTCAACTTATGAATACAAAATTAAAGAGATGGCACATTACGTTAACTCTAGATGGTTTAAAAAACACCTTTGAGCAGCTGCCACCACCACACACAGATCAGAATCACACTCTAGTTTCATGACAAAAAAAGCAGATTGAGTCCTGTGTCTTGAAAACCATGACAACAAGCACACCCACAAAATGTAATTCAGCCTCCTGACTCTAGAATGACTTAGAAAGTTATAGATGGCAAAATATCTGGAAAGTTTTAGTTCCTTCCATTCTGGAAAGCCATTATTAGCAGTTATGGTAGTAACTTGCTTCTGTTATAAGAAGTGTTTCAAGTCATAAAGGGCTAAATTTGAAGATCTAACAATTAAGAGGCATATGTTGTAGGATATTCTGCACTTGTATTTACACACATGCATGCATATTATGCTCATATCTTTTTCTAACACGCACATAGGCAGCCCTTCTCTTCTAAAGGTCAGAACTAAAGCAATAGCCATCATTCCAGGAACATCTGGAGCCAGCAATGGCACTGAGAACAAGAATAAGGAGGGATTTGTTTGTTTGTTTTACAGGAACACAAAAGTTAAAGATTGAAAAGAGCTATTACACCACCCAGCCCACCTCTGACAAGGGCAGAGGTGATCTGCTTCTTTAGTACCCATCCCCACCCCGCCTTTCCTACTCGTGGATATCCAAATAAGAGGTCTCCAGGCGAGGTGCCACTTCATAGCCTGGTACAGCACTTAGAGTCCATCTGAGATATCTTTTTTAATTGTTTATTTTTTTAACCTTCATCATTCATGTCCATCTCTCTCAGTTCTGCTACAGCTACCATCTCAAATTATTATCTCCCCTTTCAGCTTTTTACTTATCTCTTTACCCATTAGGAGTTAAAAATTTAGATCACATCTTGCACATTAACTCTTCATCTTTAGTACTGCTCTCCATTTTCTCACATTTGCTGACAGCCTTCTCGTAAAAGGATTAGACTAAAACAAAGCTGCCTTGCCAGCATCAAAAAGACTGTTTAATACCTTGCGATGACAACTCACTAGAATTCTGTTAGATGCCAGTCAATAGAAATCATCACTTGCAACACAAAACTAGCTGATCGCTCTACTAAAGGCACTCAGCAGGCACACAACTGCTCTTCTTGCCCTAAGTTACTGCCCTATACTCCTGCGGGCTCTAGCTTATACAGCTCAAAGCTGCTCCGAAATGTACCTTTCCTTCACATTCAGCCTGGTGTGGAGCAGTCTCATCCAGCATCCCAGAAATCTCTGCGGATTCACCCCAAAGCAGCACTTATATCCAGGTTTACAGATCCAGCAGACCCTACCCTAGACCTGAACAGCAGCTCACAGCCAGCACACACGCTCTGCGGCAAGCTGTGTCACACACAGCCATGAAAATCCTTTCCCCACACCCACCACAGGCCTGCCTGGAAAAAAAAAAAAACAACCACAAAATTTTAAGCCAACGTAAATACAGTCTTCAGCTCTTTCAAAAGGGTGACTCTTGACTGAGGTGTTCTGCTTGACTTACCCAGATACCAGATCCTGAATCTGGTTCTAGTCCCGAAGATACAGTGACAAGTGGAATAATACTTATCTACAGCATTAGGGCAGATTCCTGGTGTACATCTAAGAAAGGTCACAACATCCAGATTTCAGGCTATAGCCTTGCCAGCAGCTATTTTTGATCTACCAGCACCTTCAGTCCGTATCAAGACAACATGGTACTGGTGCAGGGATACAGTTTTGCCAGACAACATCAAACAGCTGTACCTCTGTCCCACCCCGATTTGTGCTTCTGTATCACTCACAGTTATTTTGCTTCCTTCCACAGCTGGAAATACAGATGATCTAGTAGCACTTGCACCAAAAAAGCTCCACCACCACTCACGCTATATGCTTGCTCTAGGAGAGCCACATTTGAACTACTTGTGCAAACAGCCCAAAAGCCATCCTAATGGATTTCCCCCCCTCAAGAACCTCATGGACTGGTGCACTAAACCCCATTTCACCAGGGTGCAGGATGCCATTGCCAAGCAGTTGCAGGATCCAAAGCCCAGCTTCACGAGTCCCAAGCCAGCACTGTTGTTCCTGTCTCACAGGACGACACCAAAGCAAAGTCAGGCCTTTAAATTTAGCAATGGTTTTATTTTTGGTCTAAATACTTTATTTTCTTGAACACACTGCGCAGTGCTTTACAAATCCAACTGCCCAGGTGGGAGGTTAATTTTAGATTCAGCGCACCTCAGAGGTTATTCTTCCTCATTGCATTCCTAAGTCAACGCAGGCCAATCTGTGACGTCTGAACATAGCAACAGTTTAGATTGAAAGTGCAGATTGTTGGCTTAAAATGTTAATCACTCAGTTGCAACTGGGCAGAGAGAAGTTGAATTATCAAGTTCACTCAGTTGCACTGTCAACGTAACAAAAAGCTTAAGAGTATAAAGTTTTAAAAATTAACCCAACAAAAAGCAAACTGGCAGAAAGATCTAATTAAGGACAACCATAAAGGAACAACTGTGGAAAGACTGACTATCCTAACGCAACCTTCTCCTCTTGTTTAAGAGCAGAGCCAGTTTTAATGGGGCTCGAGAATCATTCAGCTGACTCCCCTAACACCTTCAGTCTAACCCTGACTTAACAATATTAACAGCAGACTTAAGAGAAATTAGACTAGTGCGGACCTCATGTCGTTCATTTTCTTACTATTTCTTCTATAAATCCTCTTACACAGAGCACTGGTAGCCCTGAGCAGGATCTGCATGCCTGCATAGCACTGAGTGGGTGCTGGTGGCTCACTGGTCCTGGGCTAGAATACAAAGTCTCAGAGTAGGTTTTTTTCATCTGTTCCTAGATACTGTCAATACACAGCAAATAGATTGCAAACACTCATGCAACTCTTGGCCCTTTTGAATATCAAAATAAAATAAACACCGTTGCTACGCATTTGTTCATTCCAGGCTTGAATCATTCCCATCAGAGAGCTGCTCAAAGAATCTGTAGCTGCCTAGACTTCTCCACCGCTTGCTCAACATCCTTCCCTCATTGAAATAACTCTCAAGCAGATGAATAAATAGTTTTCTTCTCAAGCATTTCAAACAGAACAGGAGGCGACAAGAGTAAGCCAAGAAAATCGAATTCCTTTAATACTGTTTCCAGAAAAACTAAGATGAGAAAAAGGCAACAAGAAGAGAAGAATGAAGCTATACAAGGCAGTCCTTTCACACACAAGCACCTAGTTTTTAAAGACATTTCCAAATATCTGGAACAAGCACAACGGCACACATGGAACAAAGAAACAGATAGATGGAAGGAGTTGGAGTTAACCTCAAGAGCAAGTTAGGAGCAGCACACCAAGTGACAGCATCACAGCAATTCAGACTGCTGGCATGAAACACAAGCTCTTTTGAAAGGAGAAAAAAAAAAAGTAAGAAATAATGATATCAACTGGTTGCAGTATTTTGACAGATAAAGACACTAAATCAGGGAACAAAAATACGTTAGCGTCACAACACACGCACATCTTACAGGCTTTCAGTTTACTTCAAGGTCAAAACCAACTGATGGGTACAAAAGCACAAGATTAAAAGAAACAACAAAGTCCATGCAGGAAAAAGTCGCTCTTCACTCTTCTTCCAAGTTCCCACCCTGAGCAAGGAGCTTAAACTCAAGTGAAGAACTGTGTAGGTAATTCTGAAGAGAAAGAATCGCCTCAAGATCAGCCCACCACAGTTCAGAACGTGATAGGTTTTCTTGTTTAAAGTAATGTAGTGGGGTAAAGGCATCCAGAAACAGATATTTGAAAAGCTAGAGAAAATCCTGAAGCAGTAAATCACATAACGATAGCTATATCTACATAAAATATAGATACTTTGCTTACTGAAACTATTGGAAGTTTAAACCTCAGTCTTTCAAAGATATCAATGTTAATATAAGAACAACACCTTGTATGAAAGAATTCAATCAACTTATTACCAGAATTTTAGATGAAAAATTCATAATCAGCTATGTTATTCAGACGCACAGAACTACACAAAACTCCATTCCCAACACGGATAGCAAGTTTATCCAGCAGATTCCTTGTGGACACAAGCTCCACAACTTTTC